AATAATAGAGATGTTCTTGGCACTTCATAAAAAGATGGAAGAAATTAGTGCCAAAGGTAGAAAAAAAAAAAAAAAAAAAAAAAAAAAAAAAGAAAGAGTGGGTGATAATTGGGAAACATTAAAAGCATGTTACTGAAGACCCCAAAAGACTATTTAGGAGGAAAAATTTCAGGTTGGTTACAAAAACAAATTTAGAAGGAAAGTAAAAGAACAGTTAGAAACATAAAAAATAGATTGGAACGGAAGTTACTGGTGATGTGTAAAAAGCAGAAGTTTGGATCAGTGGCAAATTAATAAGCAAAATTAAATCTGGAGTCTTATCTAGAGAAGGCTTCCTTTCCCTGGTAAAATAGAGGAAAAATATGACATMCTAATAACAGTATTAGACCGTTATSAGATGAAAACAGATTTTATCAATAATATGGAAATGCTCATGGAGCTTTTCTGTTCTGGTATTTGTGAAGGGTAACATGATGCAATCGCACCAATATAATGATGACGGTAAGCAGGTAGAAGTATCTTCCATTTGCATTGTAACCATGGGTGTTATCACATGTTCACCAGCAGCTTCCTGTGGGACTGCAGCCTCGGCTGTCTGTCCCAGATCCCTCCCAGTGTTGGGACAGCTGAAGAGCAGTAGCTGCTTGGGCACACCAGCTTTTCATCCCTAAGTGCACACCAACTTCTCACCAAAGGCATGAGGCAGCTGCTACCCAAGTGTGATGTTTTCAAAATCGTGAGGTTTGGACAACTCACTTCAGGAGCTAAACCAAAAATTACAAAGTCAACTCTTATCATAATTTTTCTTTATGTTCTAAAACATTTTAGATGCTTCAGTAGACTGAAAGTTGCAAATGCTGTCAGGTTTTGTTTTTTTTTTAAAGGACATGAGAAGTACTGGATGATTGTGGGTTCGTTGGCCTGATACTGAGCCCAAACTAATTGCACAGCTTCACAGCTGATGCCAGCTTCAATTAATAGAGTACTAAAACAGAAYAATGGCATTAGTACCAGGCAACATCTTTCCAAATTAGGGTTTTGATGAGMTGAAAAGTTTGGTTGATGAGGGTATTGCAGATACTCAGGGTGTTACATAATATTGCATTACAAAAGGTGATTTCAAAATACAAATATATTTGTATTCAGGAAGCTTCCATGATGCAGTTGAATTTCTGGAGGGATTTTTTTGAGAAACTGTTCACYGACCATGCTTTTAGTACTTTAATCCATGAGGAAAAGCATACAGTCATTGCTTACAGCTTGCAAGCAGTGCAGAGGTAGCTGATGAGAGGTGACAGACTTGGCCGATCACGGTGTGGTTACYGTGTGCTGAGGCACAGAGAACATTGCTCTGCTTGGTTTCAGCCCCTGGGAAATGTGCCCTGGGAAAGGCTTTTGGAACACAGTGACTTTCTGCCTGAGCATTGATGCACAGCATGGCCAAAAGAGCCACAGCCTTCAGCTTTACAGACATGTAAGYAGGTGTAGGGACTCTGCTTTTAGCGGGAGTGCAGCACCTTTGGAAACTTAGCAAAGAGAAGAGGGAGGAATTACCATTAAGTATGTGCAAGTAACAGGCATTTTCCGAAAACTTTGTAAAACCCAGTTTGAAGGAAAACAATGCAAACTTGAAATAAGGTTTATGTTCCTCTGGGTAGAAACTGCATGGCTGGGAGATGATGACTGGAGTTGTACTGTCTTTTACCCRTTGATGCTGTTGAAAGGAGGATTTGGGAGTCACTGTACTGTGTGGCASCTTAGGCTGAGAAATCACAGCCCAGCTTTTGTCACTGGCACAGTTGGTGGCCACCACACTCACTGTTCTCCTATTTATTAGAAATTAGGATACTGTGCAGAGAAAGCTGTGCAAGCTGTGCTGAATGAGCATTTGTTACAACGTACAGGTACCTAAAATAACAGCAAAGTCTTAAACTTGGATCGATAACAGCAAATACCTGTCAYCTCCTGCATGTGTCCTGCTTACCACCCTAGCCTGACCAGCCTTCCCTGGCACACCAGGTCCCTGCAGGCAATCCTCCTCCTTGCCCTTTAGCTCCTGCAAAGACCTTGTTTTTTCATTCACCGCAGGCCAGGTTCCTTTTCCACCTCCAATGTCCATTCTGAGATGCTGGCACTTTCAGAAAGTAAAGGCTGCGGAAACTTCTTCCCTAATGTGCAGGAAAATTACTGCCTCCCCACAGGCTTTCTACTAAATCATAACAAGTGTTATTTCGACGCCGGTGTCCTCCCACTGCTTACAGCGAGCACAAATYCCTGTTGGTGATGTCGGTGATAGGGGATACCTGCACAAGCAAGCAGAGTATCAGCTCTTGGGGCTGTGATCTTGTTAACCCTCTAGAGACCCCATCAAAGATAAACAAAATAAATAAGATAGTAGGCTTAAATGATTATTCATCTTCACAGTTGGGACCCCCAGGCTCTTACAATGTTACATTTGCTGGAGGGTTTGGAGGAAACAGTTCTCAGCAAAGAGGGTATTTGCAGAGCCGTAAGAGGGACACAGCAGCAAAACAAAGTTTTGGCTCTCCACCTTGTGCTGCCCTCTTTGWGGTTTCTTCTAGGCTTCAGTTGATGCAGCAGCCAAGAAGTCTGGATTTGTGAGTACCAGCTGGCATTTGAAAGGCTGAGGTTATTTGTACCAACAGCAAATTGTGTGCTGTGTGATGGCTTTAAAGTCAAAAGTGCTCCGCATCCTCCAGTCACTACAACGATAACAAAATCACACAATTTTGTTGCTTGAAACATTACTGCTTTTATAAAGATTGAAGTTTTTGTAAGCTTTGGCCAGCTTTTAGTACTTTCATGTTTCTTACTGGTAACAAGAAGGCATTTTATCAGCAGCATACAGGTAAAGTAGAGCTGTTCTTCATCTGCTGGGRACACAACAGGTTAAGTAATGTCCTGTTGTCTTCTTGCTTGAGCCCCATTGCTTTGCAAGCACATAGGTAAACACATCCTTGAATAGCCTGCAGTGAAATTACTTAGTGTGTGAAAAAACAAGCAGGAGTGGGTTGTCTTTACAGGGAAGTCAATGTGGGGTGCAATAATACAGGAATTTATTTGTCATACCAGGTACTTTGCATGCCTTCTAATTAAAACTGCTGGATGTAACACCACTTATCCCTTAGTAAAGGGTCTGCTTTGCACAGAGTGATGTTGTTCTGCATCCTGACTGCCTAGACAGGGTCATAGTTGCTGTGTGGTGTGAAAGCCAAGGGGAGAGTGCAAAATATCTGTAAATCCTACATTCTCAGCTATTTCAGTGCTTGCTTTCAGATTGCCAGCTTAAGACAAAGCCCAAAACACCACATTTTTTTCAGGTGCAGAGAAGTCATAAAATGCCAAGAAATAGTACTAAAAAAAAAAGAAACACAAGTATTTCTTCTGGGATTTTAGCTGAAGCTATGATTAAGTCTGAATACTTTACAAAAACAACCCGTACAAAAATGTCATAGTCATAAGGTACCTTAAAAACTATGCTTACTTAGTCTTGCACAAGTCAGCTGTAATGCTGGATTAATATTTGTTTMGTTCTCCTATGGTGTTTCAGGCTCAGGAGAAAAGAGCTGTATTTCAAAAATACTCCAGAGTTAATCATGGATGTGGCAGCATCTGCTTAAGAGAGACCCTTAATTGAATCATCCCTAATTAACCTATCACCTCAACAGAAGGGAATAGGATGTTGGTACCACTACTGAAATGGATCAGAGTGATGGGARTGGAAGGGGGGAGGATGAGGGCAAAGAGAAATAAAGCAATTTGCCTAACACCTAGTTTTATAGCAAATTTGGGAGGAGAGAAGGAATAGAAACTAAAGTGTACGAATCATTGAATCTCTTTAGTATATTTTAATCAGACTGTAATTTGAAAAACATTTGAGCACATTTACATGTTAATCAATGCATTACTTAGGTCCAAGAAATGTTTTCTCYTTTGTATACTTTGAGATTTTTACAGTACTTACAGATTTTTGTCTAATTATCATTACTGCTGACCTAATTTGTATTTGTAATAATTATAATTTCAAACTAAGAATAAAACCCTTTGAAAACTAGTGGGCAATAAAAGTAATAAAATAAAAGATAYAATAAATAAAAGTAATATCAGAGATCTCAGCATAGGAAATACAGTACTTGAACATTTGTTAAATGAAATGTCTGCACAAATCAAAATGAGAAGTATTTCCTATTTGAAATAAACCTCAAAAACCTATAAAGAACACTGCTTGGTTTAATGTTGTTGTTGTTCTATTTTGTGCCATATAGCTAATACACAGTAATTGCAATTTGTTTCATGCAGTGCCCTGCCAGACTGTTTTAGATTATCTGAAGACCGTACTTCAGCATCACAACCAGCTTATGGTACCGCAGCCAACAGACCATCCAACCGAGGTAGTGTACAGTGAAAACAAACTGCATCTCTTTATGCTTGATAATTCATTAAAAACATGTAGGCAAATGAATCAGTGGGCATTTAGTAGTAAAAAATAGGTTTAAAMCCATCGTTCCTAAGTACAGTAACCCCCCAAATGGAGGAAACATCATTAATGTAATCTAGAATGGCTTTATTGAGCAGCACGTAACTCCACCAGCACCAGCTGTTCTTGCCTTGCTTTGGGTAGTTTTTCTCTCATCTTTCCTCGGAAGCACCACATTTCTGGGAAGAATTTAGGCTAGGAGACAGCTGTAACAGAGTGACTGAGACTGCACGCGGGTTGCAGCAGTTCAGGGTTTGTATCACTTTGCTTCTCCATTCAGTTTTATCCAGTGCAAATTGATACCTTTTTATTTTTATTTTTATTTATCACTAGCCATTATCATTCAGGTATATTCCAAGGATTCATTTTCCTTTTTTTAATGCTCTTTTGCTAAACCAAATTTTTCAAGTACTGTAAAAACCGAGGCTGTTTTGTAATGTCCCACAAGTAATAGCTTGTCATAGTGTGACAGTATTTTTTATTCAATTAAACACATAGAGATTAATATTTTATTCATAAATTTAATCATGTACAAATATAAGCAGGGATACATTTGTATTTCGGTTCTTCCTTCAGAGTCTGCTTATTTCCTTTCTGGGAGGTTTTCTGTTTGTTTTAGTTTAATGACTGCTGGATGCACCAAATCACATAGATTTACCAAGAATGTTTTGCCCAGAAGTGCTTTACTTTCCAAGGAAGCAATGGAASTGGATCTGTAGGAACCCAGTAATTGTTTAACAGCGTAGCACAACACAGTATCATGCCTTTGGTGAAAAATGAGGAAAAATATCCTAAATTTCTGGGGGAACAAGAGAGAAGCTTTATAAAATTGAGGCTGAGGAATTTACGCAGAATTTATTACCCTCTCCTCAGTTGAYAGCAATGTGAGCTCTCATGAAATCTTGATGTTGGGCCTTTCTGCACCCTATTTTCATCTGTGCTATATATATATGTAAATACAGAACAGCTTCTAGGATAGCTTGSTGCTTTCACAGAGCCACGTGTGAGCACCTGTCCTTAAGGCACACGAGCGAGTCCAKAGCCCTACCCTGTTGCAATATGGGCTTGCATTGCATGAGGTGAGCCCGGCAGGGCATAAAAGCCAGGCATTGCCTACATTTACCTGCAGGTTACACCTTGCACTAACAGTAAAAATGGCCCATGCTTCACTAGAGGGGTTTTGTAACAGGGAAAAAATAGGTTTCAGAAATCAATTCAAAAGAATTGATTTTATATAAAAGGGATGTTAAGTTAGCTGCTGAAAAAAAAAAAGGAAGTACTCCCATCAGCTCCCCCTGGGACAGACTGGTCACAGTCACTTCAGCATAAGATTGTATTACCTCCAAAGAGCTTTCCATGCTGCCTCTCTGCTCTTCTTCCTTCCCCAGCCCCTTCACCATGCTGAACAGGACAAAGAGCTGGACTGGATGGACGTTAATGTTCTTCCATGGCAGAGCTCTTCAGATTTGTTACTGGTTCCCAGGGGCTCATGCACTGGGAAAAAGTCAGAGCAGCTGCCTGCATCACGAATGGAGGGGGAGGAACTGACCCTGAACTGTTTGCAGGGATGTAGGAAATAATGAAGGGCAAAGAGAAAGCCCCAAATTATAACAGAGCTAGATTACAAGGTGAAGGGTCTTAAGGGGTTGAAACTTGAATTTACAACTACAGGGGAGTGAGTGAAATGTTGAGATGTTTTGGGGGAAGTGGCCCTTCAGACAAAGCCTATCTTTTCCTTTATATTTTGGTTTCCTTTGCAGAGTTTTGGATTTGCCTGTAGCTGTCTTTGCCAGCAGTTTGCAGCAAGGCAAACAAATCACATAGGCTGAGCTCCCACTGATGCTAAGCCCTCTGGAAGATAGTGGTACTCTAGATCATACAGATTATCTAATGACCCCTTCAGCACAGTCTTCACTAAATTCAATCTTCCATGTGTTTATCAAATTTGCAAAAAAAATTAAAAGCAAACACCTGAGAAAAAAACTTCAAAGATGCTCTCAAGCTGTCTCCCAAGATGCTATAATAAGTATATGAAAGAAGGCAAGGGTAGTCCTTAAAATAGTTTCCAGATATCAAAGGCCAGGAAGTGAGGAGAACTTTGCAGCAGCTGTCCACAAGAACAGCAYGTGGCTGAGTGCCTCACTGAGCATCGGACCTCTGGGTTTTTAGCTCACTGCAAGCTCCTATTGAAGCTGAGGAGTTTACAAAGAGTTTACTAACTGGGCTTCCAGATTTATGTGTTTGATAAAGAGGTGCAGCTGTAAAAGTGAATGAGTCTCTAGGAAAGTGTGGTTTGGGTTTTTATTGTGTACTTCAATTATTTCAAGTATATTAACAGCACCATCTTATATTAATTGGGTAATCCTGAAATATAGCATTTTAAGAACTAAAAACAAGAATTAAATACAATTTAGGTACAATTGACTTAAGAGGGCTTATAAATGTGTGTGGATTACAGGAATCCCCATAATTAGTCCCACAGCATTCATTTAATGTGGGAATATTGAAGCACACAAATTATGAAGGTTAAAAGCAAAATTTCTTTCCAAGTGACACAGTGGCATTTCTGTAAAGCTATAATTTGAGTTAATACAGCATTCATTAATAATAATGAAGCTTTTTGTTTTCATAGTTTCTTTATTTATTTTCTTTACATTTTTCACAGTAACATAATTGCTGTCAAGTTTCATGTGTGTYGTACAGAAGTAATAAATTTATTATAAAAATAGACCAAAAGAGTCACCTCTGAAGCAAACTATCAGCTGCAATGAAGTGATCCATTTGATCACGMTCTTCAAAGACCCTTCTTATGCATTATAACATTTAAGAAGAAACATTCCACTTAAATAGCATGCCCAGTTGCTGATTCTTAACTCTTTTTAACCTGCTYGTGAAAGTGGAAATTATCAATAGCCACCTCTCAAAATGTATTCATCATTCCTCACCCAATTTGAGTTCTAGAAAATGGAAATGTAATTTCCAAAGTACTCGTTCTCTGTAAGAGCAATTACGTGTTCACTTCAGGTTGCGTTTCATTGTCAGTATCACTGATAGTTAAAAAAAAAAGGTATCTTTGATTGTAACTGACATCTTCACTTATTTGCCTTGTAAAATAAGCAATGGAAATATTTCACTTTTTCAGGGGAGTAAGCAGTTGCTGAACAACTACCCTGTCTACATCACTAGTAAACAGTGGGATGAGGCTGTAAATTCTTCCAAGAAAGATGGACGACGGCTCCTTCGCTATCTCATCAGATTTGTTTTCACAACCGATGAGCTTAAGTACTCATGCGGCCTTGGAAAAAGGAAAAGGTCAGTGCAGTCAGGAGAGACAGGTCCTGAAAGACGTCCTCTGGATCCAGTAAAAGTAACATGTCTCAGAGGTACTGCATCTTTTCGCTCAGTGTCCACCATATGTGATCTCATTTCACCACATTGGCTCTGGCTCAGTAGAAGCATTTGGCTGACAGTTGCAGAACTAGAAGGGGTTTCACAGGCAGGAGACAAGCAGCCAGAAACCCTCCACTTTCTTTTCATACATACATACCAGTATGTATGTATGTATGTATGTATTATATATGTGCTTGGGGTGTTTTTGGATGGGAAAAAACACAGCTGCTTATTTAAGAGAGGAGACAAATGCAAGGGCACATGGCAATACTACACTTTAAACAGCAGTGAAGCAAAACCAGACAATCCTGATTGCACTCTTTTATAATGAACTGAGGTCATTTGTTTACACTGATACACAGCAAAACTAACCAAAGGAATAGATACAGGCTAATGCCTAGCAAGGGTATGATGCACAAGAATACAGTGCATCATTGCAGTTAGAAGCTCACTGAGTTTCAGAACGAGTTTCAAAACATCTTCTAGAGTCAAGAACATCTGCAGGTTAATTATCTACAGGGTATGAAAGTGTGTTGTCAAGAATTTTACTTTCTTTTTGGCATATTGATGCAACGTTGCCTGAAAAAATTAGGGAACAACTTTCCCCCATGTTTAGCCTGAAAAGGGAGGGGAGTTTTCAATCATTTCACAGTGTCTGAGRATGAGGGTATTGCACAGAAAGGGTACAGATTGAAAAGAATGTTGTATACTTTGGTTTCCTARAATTGTTTGAAAGGCCTGGTACCAAGCTTTATAATAAAACATACAATACACAACTTTATAAAGCCCAAGTAAAAATATGGTTTTATTATCAACATCTGCATTTTATAAATGCATATGCTAATTATTTCTTTAACTAACTTATAGGAAACTTTAYGGTATTTTGTGAGCACATACATTAAATTTTGGTTCAACTAACCTCAAGAATGTTTTACTGATCAATGCAACGTAAAAAGCGATATTGTGGTCAGTCAGTGATAAAAATATCTTTAGTCATTCGACTGGAGTCCAAAGTGTTTATATACATCAGATGGAGCCTCTTCCCATTAAGGGTAGAAGAATCCAACAGAGCTACGTAGATAAGAGGGTAACCAGGTAAAGAACTCAGATTTTACATACAGACATATTAGGCAAACAACTCTTTTGTACTACAAAGGGATCTTTTAACCTGCACTATGATACTCTGCCAGAGCTCCATCAGAGCTCAGTTGAAGGGCAAGTCCATTGCACACCATGCTGCAGAGGTCTAGAGAGAGATCCAGGGTCCCAGAAGTTGTCCTGGAAAATGAAGGACGGATACAAGTACTTTAGCATTAACTAAATTACTCAAAGTATCACCTAACAATTCATGCACAAGCAGAGTGTTGATACGCTTTTTATCCCCTTCCTCTCACCTATCTCCCAAGACTAATAGTAAATCCACCTGTGTGTGGAATTTTGTTTATGGCCACTCTCTGTTCTGAGGTCCTGGACACAGAACATGGGCAGAAAGAGGAAGGGTAATTTCTTTAATTTTCAGAAGCTTGAAGAGGAAGCCAAAACATGCAGTATATAATGACCAGCTAAGAAAGCAGAGTAGACAGCTCTCCCTTTGGGCTTTCACGTGTGGGTGGGAACATGACAACTTCCTCCAGTGCTGAGAGTTGGCCACTAGCTCCTACTTATTTACAAGCCAAGGTAACAAGTGTCTGACTAATTCTCAGCCCAGCTAATTATGCCTTTCCACCATAGCAGGGAGTGCAAATTGGTTCTCTCTCTGCACTCAGRGTAGTTTAAATATATGTAAACATTTCTAATATATTCCTACAACTGGATGGTATGTGGAACCAGTTTTGAAACATCCTAGCATGCTTAAATTATAGCATTACTCCTTTACTTGGTAACCATTTCTGAGAAAAAGACAAGTCTGTGGGGGCACATGTGAACATAACTAGGCAGGAATTACTGTTGCCTGTGTRGATTTCCAGGGAAATGAATTTAAAACAGAGATCGCTATCACTTTTGCAGACACACTGCTGGAGGAACTATGCAAAAGTCACATCCTAATTGTCCAATAGATGAGATACCTGCAGGCACGGGAACTCCTGTAAAAGCACAGCATTCCCTGTCTGGAGATGTGGTGACAGTAATGAAGTTACCTTACACCACTTATTGGGCCRTTGGCTTGTCGACAGTAGAAAATAGAATTTAAAAATATCCTGGGACACACAATACTGCATGAGAGAATAACTAATGCTACCAAATAAATAAGCAGCTCAGTTTCCATATGAGGTACAGTGTATCCAATATCTCTAATAAGGTGCCCTCACATTTAAAATCATATTTGGATGTTTCAAAGTCCAAATACACCCATTTGAGCTATGTCTAGCAGTTACAGAATTGGCAAGGCACCTTCTGCAAGTCTAGCATATAGCATGTCAAAGAATCTAAAAAATAAATTATAAAAAATGTAATCATCACRTACAAATAGCTGTCTGTGGAAACAACAGCTATTTAAATAGCTAAAATACATGCAGTACAATTTATTTTCTCTTGCATTGAAAACTATTGCAAGGCTCCCCAAATCAGCCCTCTAATCTCATTTAGCTATTTCTAAGGCCAAATTAGTCTCTGAAAAAATAGGTGTAAAATACAGGGAGATGAAAATAGCAGAACTTAAAAGGAAAGAGATCCCAAACAGAAAGGTGCAGCAAACTGAAATAATGGCAGGGACATTTCCCAGSAGGCTGGGGGCTCCTTCAAGTTGCAGGTGCTGAAGGAGCCAGCAGAGGGAAGTCAGGAAGATCCAACAGCAATCACCTTGAGGTAGTCACCAACAGGTTTCAACTGAAATACATCCTGGCTCACATTACCTTCCACACATATTGCACACGCTGAATCACAGCCTTCACTTCGAATTAGCTCTTTACATTTCCACAAGAAGGGATTTTATCTCCAGGTCCCACGAGTCACCTCATTAGGTCAGGTATAACAACATACACTGCATGTGGAGAAGCACACTTGCGCACAAATAAAATAGGTCCAAATGGCATTATCATGACATCCCCCATAAGGCTTTACTTCTGCTTGAGTAGAGCAGCAATACCTCCTTCCTTATTTCCCATGTGCTTTTGATGCCTGGRCAATAGCAGATGCTGCAAAGACAAGTTGCTTTTATCCTTGCATGCTTTCCTGCAGAGTTCATTAGGATGCACTGTACCTCCAACCCGGACTGGTGGATGCCATCTGAAGAGCAAATAAACAAGGTGTTCAGTGACGCAGTGGGACATGCTCGCCAGGGCCGTGCTGTGGGGACTTTCCTTCACAATGGCAACTCCTATTACGAGGGGACAGACCACCCAGGATCACAGGACGAAGTCTTCAACAGAGGTATGCAAGATGGATCTGGAGATTGATGCCGGTGAGAACCACGTCATAAAACAATAGCAACCACTTAATTTAGGAGAGACTGTTTGTTAAAAATACTTAACCCTGCTGTCATTTAGGAGTCCAAAGCATGTTTGAACACATACTGCATACAATTCAGCTTCCCCATCCTACCGTATCCCAGTTAACAGAAAGAAATCCATTTCAAGACCTGCTTTATAGACTTCTCAGTGCCTATTATTTCCAAATCCTTCATAGCACACTCAAAGGGAACGTGCAGTTCATTTCATCTAGTTGTAGAGGAAAGGTCATTTTAAAACTATAAAAATGTCAAAAGAAACAGCAGCTCCTATCTCTTCAGCTTATTGATAACAATCCCCAGCCTGGACTCAGAACAGCTGGGTGTTATTTGCTTTCCCTGAGAAGAAGATGTAAGTATGACTGCACACTTACAACAACAACAAAAAAAAAGAAGTGGTTTCCCACTTGCTAACAGAAAAGAACACAATTATAAATGCTACCTTAAAATACCACACAAGATGGAAAATCCAGGGACTTTCTTAGCCAACTCTGCCAGGAAATTAAGCTTCCCGAGTAAAACAGCGGCCCTCATCAACAGCAGAATCCTTCAAAGACCCAGAACAATAACATGCACTTCTAACAGATAAAAGTTGTGTTGTGTATCAGATAGACAGTATATTTATCTAGATTGCTAGAGGATTAGAGTTGATCCTGACACTTTTCAYGAAAACAAGATTGCTAAAAACAAATCGCCATTTCAGAAGACAGAATTTCCTTTGTCTTTTCTTATTCTGCAGCCATATTATGTAGCTTTAGAGGCTTTAAATTGCCTTTTCTTGTTTTCACTTTCATTTGTGTTTTATATCCATTCCTTGAAAGAGGTGAGGCATTGCACTGGTTTTGCTCAGTGCTGCATTCAGGGAGGGGTTGGGCAAGAAGAACCTGGTTTAGTGTTCTGTGCTAAGTAGACAYGGGATCCAGACTGAGAGCTAAAATAAAAGAGCTGTTGGAGCAGAATTCACAATGGTGCGCAACAGTGGAAGCAGATATTAGCTTTAAAAACAAGTCAGTCCACAAAGAAAGTTTAATTGTAAAGGTTTAGGAGTCCATTGTCCCTCTAAATTGATGCATTCCAGAAATATGCAACGCCAAAGAAATGATACCCTTTCTTTCCCACGTCGGGGTGTTTCCATCTCCTTACCTTTGTCTGGTCACTCAGGCCAGTGTTGGCATCCTCCACAGCCTGAACCAGCTCTTYCTGAGGCAACACTTCCCCGCTGGCAGGTACAGGGAACTGTTTTTTGGAAAGAAGGCTCACTTCACTTTTAACCATCCTTAGTGCTACCTCATCAGCGTTGACTCTCCTGAACGCGTCCCATTGTCCCCAGCTTTCCTTCCCGCCTTGTGCGAGCCACAAGCGTGGCTRCTGACTGCTCCTTTCACCCTTCTCCTCTCCCTCCCGCCCTTCTCCCCTGCCCCAGGCAAGGCAGGAGGCATCCAGCCCCTTCCTCAGAGATGGGGAAGGGCTCTCTAGGGTGCAGCACCCCTCAAGCCCCAGTCTGGCCACAGGGCTGAGGCACAGTCTCMAAGTTCAGCTCACCCACACAGGAGCTCCTTGCTGCCGTCTGCCTCTGGCTGTGACTGGTCCCTCCTGGCCCATGGGGCATCTGGGGACATGGGCTCACCGTGCACTGCCGTAGAGAGGACCTTGCTCAGCCCCATATGCTTTAGGCCCTTAAATGTACAATACCTCCCAGTCCACTTTAATTTTGGTGGATTTTTAAAAGGGGCTTGAAAGGTACACACTGGCCCCAAAACAACTAATTTATTTTCTAAAAGTCAGCTAGCAGTTTGGTCACACAGGACCTCATCAGACCAAGAGGTTTAGAACAGCATTCCCTCATTTCAGGCAGGAGGTGACTTTCTTGGAGTGGTCACAGCACATGGTGGCCTCTGGAGGAGAAACTCAATGTATAGAAATGTCACAGTACAGATATCCTATAGTAGCTTTTTCGGTGTTGAACTTACACTTTTTTTTAAAAGAACTATAATAGAAGATGTTACATTGCTCAGATGGTGTAAGTCTTGCTGGTCTATGTTTAATGTGGTGACACATGCCAGAACTATTTGGTAAAACATGTCAGAACGTGTGAGTCAACATTATACTGTAAATTTGTCCACGGCAATACGTATCATGCTGTATTTTTGTAAACATTGTGATGGTTTCCTTTCAGATGCTTAATTGTATGATGTTTAAGATATAAACACTTTTTAACAGTCACAGAACAGAATTACTGAACTGAAAGGTTTGCTAGCTTTATTTTTAGTGTAAAGAGCATGGCCAGCATCCTGGAACCACTCACAGTCCTCTATTCTCATTATTCTYTCAAAATAACCAAAAGCATAATTTCATCCTGAAAGCCACTTTGGCAGTAGAAATGGCTTTGTAGGTTTGGATCTTTCTTTATGAACAAAATTTTGTCCTCAATTGCTTAAGTGCACTGGCCAGTGACATGAACCATGGTCACAGACAGGCATTAACAGACACCAGCTCATATTTTTGTTCGTGTTTGGTTTTAAAATGACAGAGTAGAAAAACTTTTGTCAGTTGTCTGTCTTTGTTTTTAATTGCCATCRTGGCCACTTGACCTGCACATCTCATTTTAAGAACCCCAAACCTTGCACAACAGCTTATTCCAGTTAATTTGTTCATTAGGTGTTATAAATTCATACACATTTAAATATCTGCAATATGTTAGACWTGGGACCTGAAACAATAGATAGCACATGAGCCCTTGCAGAGGGAGATATCCTTATTTAGGCAGTGTGCTTTATAAGCCAGCACATCTCTTCCCAGTGACAGAAGGAAACTGCTATCTATCATGTCACTCCAGAAAGTCCCAGGAGGATAGAGATTCTTGTCTTATCCTTCCACTCGCTTTAATCTCACTGTCATTTAYGTATCTGCCTTCTCTCAAACTTTGTGTAGCAGCACCGCACGCCCATCTGTGCCAACATGCCTTCGCTATATTTTCTATGACAAATATTTGTGGAGAAACTGTGATTAAAGAAAACATTAATCCTGATATTTTTATTGTTATGGTGTAGTTAATTCTATGAATACTTTCTAATGATGATTGTACTGTGTAGAGTAAGTAAAGGTTAGGGATAGACCTTTATCAGATATTGTACAAAAGAAAAGTGCATAGTGTAATATAGACTAGTAAGGTTTTTGTGACAATTTCTATAGGATGTGTGAATTGTTTTCTATGTGGCAACACACATTTCTTTTAAAGAATATAAAATCTTAGAGAATTTTTTAAACAGTTAATATTTTTTAATTATAAAGACATTTGTTACCTACAGTTTACTATTGCAGGTGTTAATTCTAATTTGAATATTGGTTTTATTACTACATACCTCCAGTTCCATTTGTTCTGTTGCATAACAATGCACAATAAAAGTTAGTCTCTGGTTAACCCGTCTCTCTCTTTCTCTAGAGGCAATGTTGTTTCAGTGTAACAGCCATGACACCCAGGTCACACTAAAAATATATATGAAAAGTTTTAGATATCAATTTATATAAAGGGCTAGGGCATTTTCTTTTGCATTAAATGCTTGTTTGGTATGAAGCACCAGAAAGCACAGTGAAAGAATGCAGAGAATTCGAGTATGATTATAATATAAATCATTTTCACCTCAACACACAACTACATAGATTTATGTGCTGGCTAAATAGAAAACTGCTTAAAGGAAGTACCCATCTGCAATCTTAAAACCTGGATTTTCAAGCAGTGACATTTAAATCCCATTTTAATTCAGAATCCAGTGATGGCTGAACATCTTCTGTTCCCTTATACTCTTTAGAAAATCCTGGSTCCAGATAATTTGTAGAGGAATTACAGTGACAAACACTGACCATGGCAAACCGCTGCTGCTGGGCTGTGAAACAGGACAGGGCTGCCCTCTGGCTGGCATCAGCCATTTGAATGGGTACAAACACTGCCATTATCAAACAAAACGGTAATGCTGCACTTAACTGGGGTTGGGCAGGTATTTTCTAGGTCAGGGGCTTCAGCCTGCTGCATTTTTTTGGTGAAAGTCATAGTTAGTGAAAACGGTTTACTAACCCCCCACCAAAATAATTTTAGGTAATTCTGAGAAATGGACATAAAAACCCCTGTATTAATCCATCTGCAAAAAATTATAATTAGCTTCTCTTTGAAAAGCTTTGACTTCCCAGACTYTTGGGCAATGGCTGGAAATGTTTGAGGCTAGATCAGGAAGCAGGAGGGAAAAGGGATGGGTTGTGGATAAATCAAACAGGGTGAAGGAGTAGTACAGGCAGGAATCCAGCAGGGAAAGCTAGCAGGGAAGAAGAGTGTATAAGTAGGGRATCAGAGGCAGCAATTGGGTTTATGAAGCTTGAAAAGAGAGATTAGGTCTAACAGCAGAGCACAGGCAAGGGGATAAGCATGAGAGGTAGTGCCTGGGGCTGGGCAGGGGAGAGAAGGGTAGGGGACAGGTACCTGGGATGGGGAAGAACCAGGCCTGCGAAGTAACTGCAGTGGAACAAGCAGCAGATGGACAGTGTAATTCAATAATGTCATATTTTATCACTCTTCCACTAAATACCTGTCAAACAYACCGGTAAGGCAATGCTCCTGCTCTGCAGCAGTGATGATGCCCTCAGAAGCACRGGCCATGCTGGCACAGCTGTGTCTTTGCTGAGGCACAAGATGTCCCTGAAGAGAGCCTTTAAGGTCCAAGGCAGACATTGAACCTCATGCTTGTGAAGGTAATTGGTTTTTACCTCTTTTGCTTTGAATAAGCTCATATGCAAGCCCATATGAGTGTTTGTAACCTTATTTTAATAAGATTGCTCACATTGCAAAGTCTTGTCCTCAAGAGTTCAGCTGGGCAGGGTTTTCTCTGCCTCCTTCCCTCTTGAGGCCCTGACTGAAGCCTAACCACTAGCCCATGCAGCATGGGCAACACAATGTGTACTGACTTGTAAAGTCAGCTTCTGTTTRGAAACATGCACAAAATCTCAAAAAGAACTCTTTATCTCAAAAAGAATTCATTTTTTCCTGCCTGACTCTTACTTATGCTCATTTGCACCATTGGTAACTACAAACTGCAAAGTGCTTCAGCATGAGGCAAGGGTGAATACAGTTCCAGGTGACAATCATATAAATCTTAGTTATTGATAGAGCAAACCAACACCCCTCATGTGACCTGACCACTCCTTGAGCAGCGCCTGTTTAAATCAGAGGCTCTGTCTTGGTTGTTTCCTAGCAAGTTAATACATTGTGTTGGTTTTGCTTGGCCCAGTTWTTGGAAGTGGGGGRGCCAAAAAGATGGCACCTGAGAGAAGCTTCTGGTGGCTTCCACCATGTCCAGCAGAGCYAATTGCTGTTGGCTCTGAGGATGRTGGACAYGCCACTGACCAAACCTGGGCCAGTTGGAGATGGTGGTTACGCCTCTGTGAAAACATGTTTTAGAAGAAAT